AGACAGGGTTTCACCATGTTGGCCAGGCTGTTCTCGAACTCCTGACCTCAAGTGATCCGCCTGTCTCAGCCTCCCAAAGTTCTGGGATTGTAGGCATGAGCCACTGCACCCGGCTACCACATTTTCAAGACACTTCTACCAGTGTCTGGGTAAAACAGTGAAACTTCAGTCTGTAGCTGGCCAGCCAAATAGTGAAACTCTCCCTGGACAAACTTAGCAGCCATTTATAAGCACTCTGCAATGGTTCTCTCTTTCTTTTACTTCCTTGGGTAGGGTTGGCCCCTCAGAAGCAGCCTCAAAGATTCGGAATGATAGCTGACAACAGCTGAACCAGAGAGGACACTGTTCCTTCCTGGGATTGTGTTCACATGCCTAGTAGCATTTCCATGCACAATTATCACACCCAGTACAGGAAGAACAGCTGAGTCTGCCCTGAGGACAGGAGCTAAGTTGTGTCCCCAGGAGCCTGAATCGTGCTGCCCACCTTTCCAATGTCCCCTCCCTGTCCCGGAACCCCACCCTCCTCTTAAAGAGGCTGCTTCCTGTGGGCTGCGAGGGAAGAGGGCAAAAGCAGGGCAGGGAGGGGCAGGCACCTGCTCCCAGGGGCCTTCAGCGGCCACTCCCCAATGGCACACAGTTGTCCAGTGGCCTGAGGATAGACTCGAGCCCAACACATCAATGATGAGCCACAACACACCCCTGGGATCTCAGTTCTACAGGAGGCACATGAGGAGGTCCCACATCCACTTATCAGAAAAAGCTTTGCTCCCCAGGGAGTTCTCCGCTTGGCAGAAGGCAGGACAGAGGCCTCCAAGGCTACTCTACCTCTCCAGCACTATATGCCATTGCCGGCTGCCCCATGGCATATCCATCTTTCAGGTCGGAGAAAACCCTTGCTTTCCTAAGCACGCCACCTTTGGTCATTTGTCCCTCTTGTATTGATGTAGCACAGGGAGGGGTAAGGACCATGTGGAGTTGCAGCTTCACTAACTGTGGTCGTGGGCAACCCACTCAGCCTCTTAAGCTTCTGATGCCCCATCTGTAAGGAAAGGACATTGCACTCCAGCCTGGCCAACACAGTGAAGCACTGTCTCTACCAAAAATACAAAAATTAGCTGGGCGTGGTGGCGGGTGTCTATAATCCCAGCTACTCAGGAGGCTGAGGCAGGAGAATCACTTGAACCCAGGAGGAGGATGTTGTAGTGAGCCAAGATTGTGCCACTGCACTCCAGCCTGGGCGACAGAGCTAGACCCCATCTCAGAAATAAATAAAGTGAAGTCATACAGCGTCAGCCCTGAGACGTTTTCTATGATACTGATATGGCTAAAAATAAGAAGAAATTACATTTACTTCAGTTTTAATGACAGCACCTATAACATTTTCTTTCTTTTTGTTTGAGATGGATTCTTGCTCTTGTTGCCTAGGCTGGAGTGCAGTGATGCAGTCTCGGCTCACTGCAACCTCTACCTCCAAGCAGTTCTCCTGTCTCAGCTCCCAAGTAGCTGGGATTACAGGCATACGCCACCAAGCCTGGCTAATTTTTATATTTTTAGTAGAGATGGGGTTTTGCCATGTTGGTCAGGCTGGTCTCGAACTCCTGACCTCAGGTGACCCACCCTCTTGAGCCTCCCAAATTGCTGGGATTACAGGCATGAGCCACCACATCCACTGGGCTCCTGTAACTTTTTGTTATGGAAAATTTCTAACATCCAAAAGTAGAAAAAGTATGATGAACCCCTATGATACCATCTCCAGCTGCAAGAGCTTTTGGCTCATAGCTAATCTTCTTTCACCTAACCCATAATTTCTATCTCCCAAACTAGATTTTTAATTTTAAAAAAATGTTTATTTAGAGATAGGATCTTGCTCTGTCACCCAGGCTGGAGTGCAGTGGTGCAGTCATAACTCAATGCAGCCTTGAACTCCTGGGTTCAAGCCATCCTCCTGGCTCAGCCTGCCAACTAGCTGGAACTACAGGCATGCATCACCATGCTCAGCTAACCAAACTCGATTATTTTGAAGCAAATCCCAGACATTCATAGATACAGCAATGGTGGCCTCTTTATTTATTTATTTTTTCTTTTTTTTAATTCTTTTTTTAGTTTTTGTTTTTTTTTTTTAAATGGTGGCCTCTTAACTAAGCTGCTTTAGTAGCATAGGCTCCAGATGTGAGCAGTGGCCTTGTTCCTGATCCTAACACTGTGCTTGGCACTAAGAGGTGCCCTCTAAGCCTGAGATGAAGGAAGAGGTGAAGGTGGGACTTGGTGGGGAGGGTAGACTATGTTACTGAAAACTGTAGTTCTTTCTCCTTCAGAGTCAGCTCCTTCAATTAACTGAGATAGCTAGGAGTCATTTCCAAAGCCAGAGTAAGTGGCACAGCTTATCATCTTGAAACGCTGTCCATTATTAAGATGCTTTCCAGGTAGCTTCAGTTTACTTGCTGGTCCTTCTCTTTTTCAGACTATTAAGCCAAAAGTGAAAGTTTTCATCTTCAACCTAAAACTCTCAGGCTGCCCCTCCACCATGAAGAGCCCAGCCAGGCTGCTTTTCAGCCTTTTCGAAGGTGAGTGGACCATTGCCAGAGAGGTTTTGAGTGACATTTGGTGCACTGGTGTGCTGGGTAGCAGTCTTGAAAGTCTGGGGTTCTAATGGGAGGAGGAGCATGGCAGGAAAGCTAGTCTGAGAGTCTGCCCCAGATTAGGTTAGTGTACTCTGCCTTCCTACTGATGGTCCCTTGCAACCATCTCCCCTTGCCCCAAGAAAAAGGAGAAGTTCTACACAAGGATGCCTCTTATAGATGTAAAGATCGTCAGGCCTCAGCTATGAGTTGTAAGCATGGAAACTCATCTTTGCCTCCTTCCATTACCTCTCCCTCCAAGGTCTCTCATCTCTGCTCCTCTTAGCAGGGCTGTCCTATGCCCCTCTCCAGCCAGCCCTCCATGCTTACCCTTGTTCCATGTCCCCATTATCTCAGCTTGCACATGGCACTGGTGGGTACCTGACCAAGATGCTAGGAATTTTCAAGGGTAGGACTGATGGTTCAAAGGCCGTCTTCCTAGTATCTCTTAGTTCAAATTCTTGAGAGTGAATCTGAGCATTGGCCATGGATCAGGAGGCTGCTCTTGGTCCAGTCAAGTCAGGGGAAAGGTGGGGTCTGTGATAGCATTGAGGCTGGCAGTCACTGGAGTCTCTGCAAGAAGGGAGGAAGGGGCAGAGGGGAATGTGCTTGAGGGCCGTGTTAGTCAGGCCTGTCACTCTTGTCCCTAGGCCAGAGTATGGGAGAAGTCAGTAGTGTTCTTTCTACCACCGTGTCTTAGTCTCTTGTATTGCTATAATACAATACCCTAGAATGTGTAATTTATAACGAAAAGTTTATTTAGCTCATGGTTCTGGGGACTGGGAAGTTCAAGATCTGGCAGCCACATCTGGTCAGCTTCTGGTGAGGGCCTCATGCTGCATCCTAACATGGCAGAGAAGTGAAAGGGGAAGCGAGTGTCTGCAAATAGATGAAACACCAGAGGCAGCCTCACTTTATAACAACCACTGTCATGGTAACTAATCCAGTCCCACTAGAGTGGGAACTCACTCGCTCCCTGGAGACTGCACTAATCCCTTCATGAGGGCAGATCCCTCATGACCCAAATGCCTTTTACAGGTCCCATAACCTCTCAACAATGTTACAGTGGCAGTTAAATTTCAACATGAGTTTTGGTGGGGACAAACCACATCCAAACCATAGCACACCTAGAACCCCTGCCAGCATTGGGTTGTCTCCACAGGGCCCCTGAAGTTCATCTGTAGATACCATTTAATAACCCTTATCTGAACTCACCTTTGATGGCATAACAATTTCTGTTCTTAGATCTCCCCTGTCTCTAAATGGTTAAAATTGTAACTTTTCTGTTTACGTGTATTTTACCACACTTTAAAAAATATTCCATCCCTTTCTAATCTTTGAGTTCTTCTAAATCAATTGTTCTCAGAGTTGTGGTCCCCAGACCAACAGCATCAACATCAGCATCACTTGGTATCTCGTTAGAAATGCATATTCTTGAGCCCTACCTGAGACCTACTGCATCAGACACTCTGGGGGTGGGACCAGCAACTTGTGTTTTAACATGCTCTACCAGTGATATTGATTCACACTGAAATCTGAGACCCACTTTTTGAGTAATAAGTAAGTAGAATTCACTTCTGAGCCCATGGTATTTTCCAAGGGGGCTTAGAACCTTTGTTTGGCGTTTGGGTGTGTTGTATAAGTGAGCAAAACTGTTGATTTCAGACGTGCGTTTTCTTAGTTGACATTCACCTAGAGTTAATTTAACTACTTCTCTTACAGCCATAAATAAAGACCAAGCGCTCACCATTGGGTTTGATATTAATGAGTTTCTGAGTTGTTCATCAAGTTCCAAGAAAAGGTAATATCAGATTGCCTATTGAACTATCAATAGCTGATATTTGTAGAATACTCTGTTTTCTTTTACATGTATAATCTTATAGGACTGTTGTCATCAACTCTTGGGCCACCAAATTTATTATTGCCATTCAATCGATGAGAAATGACCCAGAAAGAAAGCAGGGAGTCTCTTACTGAGTGGGACTCATGAGGTTCCGCTTTCTCATCTGTCAGTTCACCCAACTGAGATAGTTCACACAACTAGCATGATGGCTCACACCTGCAATCCCAGCACTCTGGTAGGCAATGGTGGGAAGATTGCTTGAGTCCAGGAGTTCAAGTCTGGGCTGAGCAACATGGTGAAACTCTGTCTCTACAAAAAATACAAAAATCAGCCAGGCATAGTGGTGCATGCCTGTGGTCCCAGCTACTTGGGAGACTGAGGTGGGAGGATCGCTTGAGCCCGGGAGGTGGAAGTTGCAGTGAGCTAAGATTGTGCCACTGTACCAGCTAGGATTGGAACCCTTGCCTTCTAGTTTAAGATCTTGTTGGAGACGGTGTGAGCTTGTGGAAGAGTGGCCAGGTTAAAGATAGATCTGACCATCTCACTGAAGTTATATAATGAGTAAGAGAAATGAGTTCTCTGTGCCCACGTCTTCAATACAAAGGATGAAACGTCCCCATGAGGTGGCAGGATGGACAGGAAAGCCAGCTGTTGCAGCAGGGCAGATGCCTAACTTGTCGATGTTTTAGGGACAGAGGTTTTAATCTATGATGGGGTTGTAAACAATGTGTTACTGAATGAATAAAGTCCCAAAGTTTGCAAATAATATACTTTTAAAAATGAGAGCAGATTTTGAGGTTATGCCCATAATTACATTGCTTTCATGCACGCACATCCCACTGTGCTTTTTGAGTGAGAAAAGAATGGCATGGAAGCCAGTACTGGGAATTGTCCAGAACCTCAGCACTCCATGGGGGGATGTCACATGCATGAACATCATGCACCATCCCTTAGGGTGGGACAAAGGCTGGGACAATAATTGACTCCAGACCTTCAGTGGGCATTCTCTTTGTCACTCACCTCTGATATTTCCAGTGCAGCTCTGTTCAGGGTCATAAGCTTCAGTGCCAACACCTCTTTGTACTTTTCCTCTTCTGGTACTTGACTGTCCTGAGCTATATTCTCCGGTTGTTCCATCCTTTCGATCCATTTCAAGTCAGCAGTTCAGATCAACATACCCCCAGCAGCAGCTGTACCTCAGGCTTTATGTGGCAGTGCAAACTTGCAATGGACAGACATGGGTCAGCACTGCTTCCCGACCACACCTGGAGTCAGCCAGGAAGGACTGTCTGTGGCTTCAGGAAAGAAAACTCAACAGGCCATAATAAAATGGGTTCCCAGAGAAGCCAGTGATTACAAGCAACACCAGCTCTGAGGTTCTCTCAGCACTTAGTGGTGCTTTACCTGAAGGGGAGGTCCAACACGACCTAATATTAGACAGCCAGCAGCCCCTACTCAGGAGGATGTGGTTGGAGAACCTGCTGAGTGCAGGGGCAGTGGGTGAGGAATGGTTCAGAAAGGACTAACATAGTTTTCTCCCTCAGAATTTTAGACCTTATAGGGGAGATAGAGGCCCCCAAACAACTCTCACATGAGAATTTGGCAGGAGACACATAGCACTGCACCCTGAAAAAGGGAGAACTGAGAAGCCCTGGGTGTGGAGCCTGAGGCATCATCATGTGCTACATCCCTCCCTATGACCACTAAACCCAGGGCTCCCAGCTCCAAGCCTGTACAGCAAGTTCTGTTTCATCCCAGGGCAGTTTGTTTCCTCAGACCTCTTTTCATGCAGTCCAGGAGGAAGGAGTCAGGGCCAGAAGGACTGGGTGAGAGTGAGGTTCGGAGCAGCAAAGGCTGTGTTTATGGGCACCGTGGAGCGGCGCCGCGTCCCCGGCAGCGCTCCACAGTGGCAGGTGTGTTGGGATCATCCACAGGGAGAGGATCATTTCCCTTCCCCACTGCTTTAACAAATGTCAGGGAGTTGTGCTGAGTGAAACAGAAGGCGCTTAGGTTTGGAGGAAGCCTCCTGGAAGGTGACCCAGGCCCAGGCTTCACTCCTTGAGAGGAAGATCTCTGTGTAGTGTCCCTGTCACTTCTCCCAGTTCTGCACTGTAGGCCAGCTGGTACAGGCGCCATCCCCTCTCCACATGATGGCTGTGTGACAGGGAGATGCTCTTGTACTCCAACTTCTTTTCCCCAGGCATGTGCCACGCTTTCTCCTCCAGACCCTCACACCTACTTCTGCCAACCCGTCCTCAAGGCCGCCCTCTGCTGGGTGTAATTTGCAGCATGCATGCTTTCCCACCCCTAGGACATGTCTCACTGGCTGTGAAATCAATTTAGAAGTTGGCAATCACAATTGAAAAAAAGAAAAAGGAGGAAAGGAGAACTGGAGGGAGGAAGATGAACTAGAGTAAAATAGAAAATATTAGACCACATTTTGTATAAATGCAGCATGTACTTTTATGTGATGTTTTATTTCATATGCATATATATACATACACATACATGCACATAAACATGTATGTATACGAGGTTAAAAGCACAGAATCTGCTCCACTGCCTGCAAGATGTATGGTCAAGGAGAAGTTACTCATAATCACCAGGAATCCAGGGTCCTTCGTTGTTACTTTGTCACCTTTAACAAGATTTCTACCTCATGGTCCAGGATGGATGCTTGAGCTCCTGCTATTATGTGTGAAATCCAAGCAGCAGGAATAAGAAAGGAGGCAGTAGCCAGGACTGATATTTAGTTGGTCCACATCAGTGTACTTCTATACCAGCTGATAAATAGCCGCTGGCTCCCTGAAGTCAGGAAGTTTCTCATTTCTTTAAGTCTGTTTCCTCCTGTGTAGGATGAGAATTAATCATTGCAGTACCCATCTCAGAAATTTGTTGGGAAAATTAAATTAGATAATACACATTCATTCTTATCACAGTGGCCAGCACAGAATCAAGGCTCAATAAATTGAAGACATTGTTATTATTAGCTATGTTATACGAACAGTAAATTATAAGAAGAATAAAATATGACACTAGAATTGAAGACAATATTCAAGGGCAATCTAATACAGAGAACAGTAGCATTGTTCCTGTTTTAACCATGAAAGAGCAAGAATCACTAACCTCAGAAGGGGTAATAATAATTTTCCTGTCTACCAGTCACTTTCTGTCCATGGCTTTGCAGATAGGACTTTTGACTTAGTGTCTCTGGAATCTATCTGATTAAACACAGTAGTCATCTCTAGGGGGCATTTGTAACTGACAGTGTCATTCATTTTTATGTCCCTTCAATCCCACAGCACATCTTGTTCTCTGACTGGCAGCCTGCCCCTTCAGCCTGACCAGCAGGAGGACCGCGAGACCACACGTTCCTCTCTTGCCTCGGCCTATCAGAGAGCCTGGGAATCATTTGCCAATCAGTCCAGGGCAGAAAGGGACACTTTCCTGCAGGACGTTTTCCCTGAAGGCTTCCTCTGGGGCACCTCCACAGGAGCCTTTAACGTGGAAGGAGGCTGGGCCGAGGGTGGGAGAGGACCGAGCATCTGGGATCCACGCAGGCCCCTGAACACCACTGAGGGCCAAGCAACACCAGAGGTGGCCAGCGACAGCTACCACAAGGTGGTCTCTGACATCGCCCTGCTTCGTGGCCTCCGGGCTCAGGTGTACAAGTTCTCCATCTCCTGGTCCCGGATCTTCCCCATGGGGCACAAGAGCAGCCCCAGCCTCCCAGGCATTGCCTACTACAACAAGCTGATTGACAGTCTGCGGGACACGGGCATCGAGCCCATGGCCACGCTGTTCCACTGGGACCTGCCTCAGGCCCTGCAGGATCATGGCGGATGGCAGAATGAGAGTGTGGTGGATGCCTTCCTGGACTATGCAGCCTTCTGCTTCTCCACGTTTGGGGACCGCGTGAAGCTGTGGGTGACCTTCCATGAGCCGTGGGTGATGAGCTACGCAGGCTATGGCACTGGTCAACACCGTCCCGGCATCTCTGACCCAGGAGTGGGCTCTTTTAAGGTACTTCCCATCCCTGCAGCTCCTACTAATTGGTGGAGAAAGGACAGTGGCTGGAAGAAAATAATTTTCTCTGTTTTCTTCCATCAGCAAGCCTTTACTTTTTGTTCTTTCTTTAAAGGAAATCAGAGGGAGGGAAAGAACCATAAATTGTTAATCGCCTGGCCAGGTGCAGTGGTTCATGCTGGTAATCCCAATCACTGTGGGAGGCCGAGGTGAGCAGATTGTTTGAGTACAAGAGTTCAAGACCAGACTGGGCAACATGGCGAAATCCTGTCCCTACAAAAAAACACAAAAATTAGCCAGGCATAGTGGTGCACGCCTGTGATCCCAGCTACCCAGGAGACTGAGGTGGGAGGATCACTTCAGCCAGCACGCCAAGGCTGCAGTGAGCCAAAATGCTGCCATTGTGCTCCAGCCTGGTCAACAGAGCAAGACCCTGTCTCAAAAAAAAAAAAAAAATTATTAATCACCTTATTTTGTCCAGACACTGTACTGGTACTTTTAAAATATAATAGTTATTACATCCTCAGAATAGCACTGATGGATGAGAGAGGGTCGGAGAAGATAAACAATATGGTCATGATGACATTGTTAATGAGTCACCAGGTGGAAGTCAGGATTTGAGCCCAAGTCTTCTTGACTCCAAATCAAGTTCCTCATGTCACTTAGTGACAAGGGACAGAAAGCTCAACCCAAAGTGACTTAACCCAGGAGAGAATTCACAAGTTCAGAAGGTTGAAAAGTCTTCATTTAGCCTGATCAGGGTAGAATTTGATGAGAACACAGGCAGTGTCACGAGGACCCAGTTCTCCCTCTCTTGTTCCCCTTGTTGGCTTTATTCTTGGGCTGCTTTGCAGCCAGATGGCAGCAACCCTGTTTCTGTTTTTTCAAAACCAGTAGGGAAAAAAGCTGGCCCCTCTCCTGTTCTTCCCAACAGAAGTGTCCCTATGTCTCATGGTCTCTCAGTGGGTCACATGCCCACCCTGAACCCGTTGCTGGGTCCTGCTGGGAGCTGTGGCGACTGACTGATTTGGGCCAAGGGCCCATCCTTTACTCCTCAATATGCTACCTGAGAGGTGAGGAGGTGGAGAGGGAAGAGGCAAGGAGGTGTTGGCTTTCCAGACGGCAGTCAGGGCATCATTTAAACAAGAAGGGGATATAAACCTGGCATGGTGGTTCACACCTATAATCCGAGCACTTTGGGAGGCTGAGGCGGGTGGATCACCTGAAGTCGGGAGTTTGAGACCAGCCTGACCAACATGGAGAAACCCCATCTCTACTGAAAGCACAAAATTAGCTGGGCGTGGTGGCACATGCCTGTAATCCCAGCTACTCAGGAGGCTGAGGCAGGAAAATCGCTTGAACCTGGGAAGCGGAGGTTGTGATGAGCCAAGATCATGCCATTGCACTCCAGCCACCTGGGCAATAAGAGCGAAACTCCATTTCACACACACACACACACACACACACACACACACACACACACACACACAAAGGTGGGGGTGATGTATATACTTGGCACAAAATTTTAAGTGGTTATAGGTATTTTCCATTATTTCCCTTTTTCTTCAGAACCTCCCAGAAAACCCACCAGCTTTCTCTGACAGTGTTCTTCAGGATGGACATGTTAGTCTGCCTTTCCCCTGTCACTGTTTGTGTTCTGTTCTTAAAGATGAGTATTTCCAGCTGGGCGCAATGGCTCATGCCTGTAATCCCAGTACTTTGAGAGGCTGAGGCAGGCAGATCACCTGAGGTCAAGAGTTTGAGACCAGCCTGGTCAACATGGCGAAACCCCGTCTCTACTAAAATACAAAAATAGCTGGGCATGTTGGTGGGCAGCTGTAATCCCAGCTACTTTGGAGGCTGAGGTAGGAGAATCGCTTGAACCTGGGAAGTGGAGGTTATAGTGAGCCAAGATGGCGCCACTGCACTCCAGTCTGGGCCACCTGAGTGACAAAGCAAGACTTCATCTCAAAAAAAAAAAAAAAAGATTATTTCCTGTGCCTTGTGCTAGGTGTTAAAGAGGGGTCACAGCCGTGCCCTGGGCATGTTATAGCCTTTTGGGGAAGATGATGCTAACACACATAGCAAAATTACAGAACTTTTCAAAAAGACCACAACTATGGTGATTTGGAACACCGTGAATAAATGACTCGATGGAATGCCAAACATCGTAGCACATGAGTCATAGCTTCCATTCAGCTCTTGCACAGCAAGTGACTGCACATATGGAGTCACTTTGCTACGCACCTTCTGAAAATGGAAGGTTTGAAATCTTCTATTTGACTCCTTGTTGTAAAACTTATCTAAATCTTTTCTTCTTAGTCATTTCTTACCCTTTGAACTGTGGCTCCTGAGATATCTTTACAGAGGCTTTGATGAGAAAGTCCCCTTCACTTTTCTCCTTCAGTTCTTCCCTTTATTTATTAGTCAAATATTAGAACATTATTGTCTTAGTGAGCTTGAGCTGATATAACAAAACACCATAGACTGCTTGTTTAGACAACAGATATTTATTTCCCACCATTGTGGAGCTGGGGAAGTCCAAGATCAAGGGGCCAGCATGGTCGGGCCCTGGTGAGGGTGCTCTTCCTGTACTGCAGACAGCCACCTTCTTGCTGTCCTCATATAGGGGTGGTAGGGAGAGCTCGCTTGTATCTCTTCTTATAAGGACACTAATACCACCACCATGAGGGTCCCACCCTCATGACCTCCTCTAAACCTAATCATCCCTCAAAGGCACCCTCTCCAAATACCATCACACTAGGGATTAGGGCTTCAACATATGAATTTTGATGCAGTACCTAATTCAGTTCATAGCAACTATTAAAGAAAAATTTTAAAGGAAAAAAAAAAGTCTTTTATTATTTTACACTATCTCCTTCCAGTCTTGGCTTCTTTGCATTTATTGTGTTGTCACAGGGAACCTCAGATTATTGCGCACTGTTTATTTGATACCATGCCATTAGTACTTTTCCCTAATTGTAAGCTGTCACAATGACTGTTTTGATGCTTGTCTAATATTCCACTGAACTCCCTTCCTGATACTGGCTAATTTAGAAGGCAGACATCCTTGCTTTTCAGAAAGGAGCATAATTTGCCATTACAGTTTAGAATTCAATTAAGGACTAATATTTGGGATGTGAGAAGCAGCCAGATGTTTTAGTGATTATGGCCTGTTTTGACATGAGATTCTTCAGAAGTAAATGTCATCCTCTTCAGATGATAAAAAGGCAAAAGGGAAGCAAGCTAAGATTTTGCAAACTCACTCCTGCTCTCTGAGTTTCTGCTCGATGCTTTATATACAAGTATTTAATCCTCCCAGATGGATCCGTAATTACCTACTTCTTGCCAACAAGAAAGCTGAAGTTGAGAACAAATTGTCAAAGTTAACAAGTTACTGACAGAGTCAAGATATAAGTTTAGGCTTGTTATATTTCAGACACCCTCCTTTTGCCCCTACTTCCCACAAAAAGCTGCTGCTGTTTGTAAGAGCATGAGTTAAGCCTACAAAGAAACTCCTAGTTTGGTTTTTCTTTCTAGATTCCGTTAAATACAAAGAACAAGTAGGCAAGAAACAGTGCTCCTCTCCCTTGTGTGCTAATTAAAATAACCCTCCCCATGGACTAATTTCTCAACAAACACTTATTAAGGACAGAGGCAGAATAGCAGTATGGGTGACAGTAACAGGCTTGGAGTCAGACTGCCAGGGGCTTGTTCTCACTTTACTCCTGACTGTGGGTCTTCTGGAGTTACTGCATAACTCTGGATCTCGTTTTCCCCATCTCTGTAGTGATGGTCATTATTGTACCTGCCATATGAGGTTGTGGTGAGGATTACAAGAGAGAATTCATTAAGTAGCAGGTGCCCAATACATGTTAGTTATTGTTAATGTGGTTGTTGATGCTGTTATTTTGTTGACAATGTTGAAGAATTGCTGTTGACTTGTTGACGTCAACATCGTTGATGTTATTGACTTGTTTACATTGGTGTTGATTTCTTGACATTGTTGACATTATTAGTAGCGGTCTTGTTCATATTCTTGTTAACTTTAATATTGACTTGTTGATATCATGTTGGTGCCAATGTTATTTGTTGATGACTTGATGTTAACATTAGTACTGATGTCAGTTTGACAACGTCAATGATACTTTTTTTTAAAATTTTATTTATTGTACTTTAGGTTCTGGGGTACATGTGCAGATCATGCAAGATTGTTGCATAGGTACACACATGGCAATGTGGTTTGTCATCCATCCCCTCATCACCTACATCTGGCATTTCTCCCCATGTTATCCTTCCCTGACCTCTGCACCACCCCCTGCCGCTGTCCCTCCCTTGTCACCCCTCAACAGAGCTCAAGGAAATAAGAGAGGACACAAACAAATGGAAAAACCCCCAGTGTGTGACGCTCCCATCCCTCTGTCCATGTGTTCTCATTGTTCATCACCCGCCTATGAGTGAGAACATGCGGTGTTTGATTTTCTGTTCTTGTGTCAGCCTGCTGAGAATGATGGTTTCCAGATTCATCCATTTCCCTACAAAGGACACAAACTCATTGTTTTTTATGGCTGCATAAATGGTCATATACAATGGTGTATATGTGCCACATTTTCCTTGTCCAGTCTATCGTTGACAGGCATTTGGGTTGGTTCCAGGTCTTTGCTTTTGTAAATAATGTCGTTATGAACATACATGTGCATCTGTCTTTGTAATAGAATGATTTATAATCCTTTGGGTATATACCCAGTAACGGGATGCTGGGTCAAATGGAATTTCTATTTCTAGGTCCTTGAGGAAGCGCCACGTTGTCTTCCACAATGGTTGAACTAGTTTACACTATCACCAACAGTGTAAAAGTGTTCCTATTTCTCCACATCCTCTCCAGCATGTGTTGTCTCCAGATTTTTTAAAGATCACCATTCTAACTGGCGTGAAGTGGTATCTCAATGTAGTTTTGATTTGCATTTCTCTAATGACCAGTGATGATGAGCAGTTTT